AGGGAGAAACACTGGTTGGATTATGGAGCGCTGACTAGAAAGGGGAAAAGAAGGAACAAAGGTAAGTAGACAAATGGGGAAGTAGCCCCAGCGGGCAGTGTTTAACCAGTGTTATTTGATGATACAGCATGTAATAACATGTTCCTAATAAAGGCTCCTTTCTACATTTCACTTTGTGGTTCTAGAGCTGCTTCCCTTAAGTTCCTCATATGCTGATGTTCATTCTCCCTTTTTGGACCTGCACCAATCTGCCCCCAGCCAACCCTGAGCTTGTGGTAGAGGAAGTTTCCGTGTAGTTTTCCCAGAGTACTTTGTTCACTGAAACTGGGCCCAAACCCTACGATTTCCTGAAGGATTTCCCTACCAACAAGCATATTCAGAGACTTCCTTGGCAACATTGTTAGTGTCACAGACTGAAGCTGGGTGAGACTAAGGAAGGATTAGAGGAATGTACAGGCATGTAAGACCTAACACCCTGTCATATCTCATATTCACTGGCATCAAGCCAATTCTTACGTACAGCACCCTTCGGAAAGAGTAGAATGCCCCTGTGTGTTCTGAGATTGCACATGGTCACAGGAGCACAACACCTCCCTAGGAGTAGCTTGTGGGCTTGAACGGACTCATAGCAACGCTATATACATCAGAACCCAACACTGCTCAGTCCTGCACCACCTCACCATTGTTACGTTTGAGTCCACTGATGCAGCCACTGGGCCAATCCATCGTGTAGAAGGTCTTCTTCTGTTTTGCTTGCCCTATTACTTTACCAAGTAGGATGTCCTTCTCCAGGGACTGGTCTTTCCTGACAACATGTCCAAAATATGTAAGATTCACTATGCTTGTCTCTAAGAGCACTCAGGCCATACTTCTTCCAAGATAGACGTGTTTGTCCTTTTAGCAGTCTATGATACTTTTAACATTCTTCTCCAGCACCACCCTTCACATGCACCATTCTCCTTCCGTCTTCTTTATTTAACGTCCAACTTTCACACGAATATGAGGCCATTGAAAATGCCATGACTTGGGTCAGGTGTGCCTTAGTCCTCAAAGTAACACCCTGGCCTTTCCATAACGAGGTGTTGTGCAGCAGATTTACCTAACGCAATTCGTCTTTAGATCTCTTGACTGCTGCTTTCATGAGAATTGATTGTGGATCCAAGCAAGATGCAATCTTTGATAACTTCAGTCTTTTCTCCATTTATCCTGATGTTACCTATTGGTCCAGTTGTGAGGATCTTGATCTTCTTTACGGTGACTTGTGATCCGTGGCGAAGGCTGCGATCCTTGATGTTCATCAGAAAATATTTCATGTCCTCCTCCCTCTCAGTGAGAAAAGTTGTGTCATCTGCATGTCACAGGTTAAGAAGTCTTCCTCTAATTCTGATGCCATTTTCTACTTCATATCACCCAACTTCTCTGATTACATACACATTGAATAAATATGGTGAGAGGATGCAACCCTTGTGCACATCTTTCCTGATTTTAAACCACGCAGTATTCCCTTTTTCTGTTCTAAAACTTGCTTCTTGATCCATGTACAGGTTGCACATGAGCACAAGTCTTGGATTCTCCTTTCTCTCAGGGCTATCCAGAGATTACTGTGGTCCACACAGCAGAATGCCTTAGTATGGTCAATAAAACTCAAGCAAACACCTTTCTGGTATTCTCTGTTTCAGTCCAGATCCATCTAACATCAACAATGATATTTGCTCCATGTCCTCTTCTGAATTTGGCCTGAACCTCTGGCAGCTCCCTCTCAATATACTGCTGCAACTGTCATTGCATGATCTTCAGCAAACTTTTACTTGCATGTGATAGGAATGATATTCTGGTCACTTTTTGATATTCTCTTTCTTAGGACTCTATTACTAGCAGGTAAATATGATATCTAACCATTATAGAACACCACAGGGCAATGAGGTATCACATACATGGGGCCCTGCTAAGCATGTGAGCTCTGTATGTGTAAATACAGAGGCCTTACTAGCAGTGCCGATCCAGTAGGCTGTTCTGAGCATTCAAAGTGTCAGTCAGGGTTATTTCTTATTCCTCAGTGCCAGGGTATGTGTTTGCATGTGTGAAGGACAAGAGGTGCCTGGCTGAAAAGATTGTTTATGTTTTGCCAAACACAGTGGTTTCTGTCCAATGTTGGAAACCCTACTGTATTTAAAATAGAAATTCCAATTCAACTTCCCTCTTAGATGGCACTCAAAGGAATATCGAGGTCTAAGCAATCGTTTCTCACAGGGCAGAATAGAACTGTCCCTTTGGGTTTCTGAGGTTGTGAATCTTTATGGGAAGGAGCAGTCTCATCTTTCGCCCTCAAAATGTCTGGTGGGTTCAAATGGCTGAACTTGTATTTGGCAAGTTCAATGCATAGCCTACTACACCACTAGCGCTGCTATGCGTCCGATTGACCTCTATGGTATGAGTATGATGTTAGTATAAAGCAATCATTTGGTTCATTATCACAGTGCTTTAAGCAATTATTTACTAACTATCACATCTGTTTCTTATTCATTTTTAAAAAACATTACCTTTTTTGAATGTCTGGTATGCGCCAGCCATTGCTTCACCCAATATTCTCAGTTATGTGAAAAAGTTATTATTTTATAGCCCTAATGTGGTCTCCTTCTCCATTGAAAATGCACTTATTAACATTTGCACTAAGGGCCAATCTTCTCTGAATTCATTTTCTCTAGATTACGGAGGGCATTTTCTTAGTAGACCCAGCAGCCTAATAGGAAAGATGAAGAACTGCTTTTTTAGGGCCATCAGGGATCGTTGTAATTACAGAATTCCTTCTCCACAAACCTCAAATTTACAGAGGCCTCTAAATGCCTGCCCTTCTCAAGTCTCTTGTCTCAGTGGTTAAGTTTTCAACATGCCTGGCTCTGGGTGCATGTTTCACTACAGGTAGTGGCACACAGTCCAAAGATGACATCATATGTGGAGAAGAGGAAATAAATGGAAGAGGGGGTATTCCTTCCAGTGAGAGTCACATCTTTTACACACGAACAATCTTTAACACAATCTTTTAAACAATCTTTAAAATCTGTAATTTTAACAATGAAAGTGTAAACACTCCCCTGCACACTCATACATGTATTTCTCATGCTCATTTTCTCAAAGCTCACAATGGGAATCACTTTCTCAATGCTCCTCTTTTTGTATGTCAGTACTGTGATTCCAGTAATCGATCATGTGTTTAGCAAGCCAACACATAACCCAGAGCTCCCGCAAATAGTGCTTCCTCAACAAATAGTGCACTTACTGTTACTCTGTTTCAGGATGGAAGTTCTGAGGGGGCAAAAAACAAACACTGGACTGGAAATGACAACCATGGTGCCACATGTGTGGTGGCGTGAATTTCTTAATATGACTCTTCTACCCCTGTCTGTACAACTTCCATCAAGTAATTGGGTGGGAGTATCCAGGTAGAGTGTGTGTACCACAAATAGAGGGGACGGTCAGGTTTAGTTACCATACCCTTGGCGATAAGGATGAGCCACCTATGAAGCCGGAGCAGAGAGGGAATGCCAGGACCACTGGAAGAGCACCTTTCACATCTCTGTCTGAAGTGGCTGAGGCCAAGACCAGGGGCACCAGGGGCACCAGAGGCTGTGGCACAGAGACTACAGGACAGACCAAAAGGAGCAGCACCGAGACTAGAGATCGGTGAGACAGAGTGAGACAGATCTCTGAGACAGTAGGCTTCTTGGTCCTGGAAAGCAGAGGCCAAGATGTGGCTGAGAGGCTTGAGGACCAGAAAGAGATGTGGTTGCGGGCTGAGGAGAGGTGTTGCTGTGGACCCATCCCTGTGTCCCTACTGCTTACTGATCCTGACTTTTGGTAGCCTTAACTCCCCTAATGCTTCCTGCCATTGACTCATAGCAACCCTATAGGACAGGGTAGGATTACCTCCTGAGTTTTTGAGACTATAATTCTTCATGGGAGTAGAAAACCCTATCATTCTCCTGTGGAATGGCTGGTGGTTTTGAACTGTTAACCTTGCAGACAATAACCCAATGGGAACCACTCCACCACCAGAGCTCCCCTAATGAACTTCCTGAATGGTGAGTATTGTCTGAGTTCTGGGTCACCATCGCGACAAGTTACCAAGCCCGGCATATATGCAGTGCGGCCTGAGAGGACCTAGTAGGGAAAGAAGGATGCAGCGCAGAGGAACGCTGGACCCCGGCCTCTTGACAACAGGAAGCCCGAGGAGGTCAAACATGCCCTCAAGCTGTGGACGGAAACAGGATGCTTTGAGGCATGCTGTCAGGGCTTCTCTGAGTTGGAATTGACTAGACGGCAGTGAGGTTATTGTGGTGGTTTTGATGAGCAGTTCACAAGATGCAGTCAGGGGCCAGGGGGAGGACCCACAACTGTTTGGCATGTATTTTTCACAAAATCGTTTTTCCTTCTCATGAAATGTATCTGTGTTCTAGTTATATTACTTTCTCCGCTCCAAATTGGGGAAGGCAATATGAGTTGGGTGGAAGACGATGGCAAACCTTCGTTGATAGAGATGGGCCTTTCATTTTAGTTAAAAGCCCTTTTATTGCAGGAGAACTTTCCTCCAAAGTGCCTCACAGTTCTGACATACCCACTTTGCACAAATTATGGAGTGCTCCAGAATGCATTGTTACTCCCTCCCAGCAGACTGCCCTCCCCGCAGGCTTCCCTGGTGGATCGGTACAGCTTGGGGATGCTGCAGCTCCTCTTTTTGCCACTGGGCACCCAGTCAACGAGTGCTTTGACCAGGCGGGATGTTTGGCATCCCAACGGACAAACCAGGGGCTTATTCAGGGCTTCACTCACCACTTGCACGGTTTAATATTTTGAAGGCAGAGTGAACAGTTTTGTAAAGGACACCCCAATGGCCTGGAAGAATCCATGAACTCACACTTCTTTGCATTCTCTTTTGCAAAGGATTTTTCTCCTCCCCAACAAACGTATCTTGTCAATCAAAAAGATAAACAGGCCCGTCCTACCTGTAGTATTCATTTCCCACGAAGAAAAGGGTTTTCTGGGCCTCCTTGAGATAGACAGCCGCATCTATTCGTTGCACGTATCGTGGAAACCCAAAGTCATAAATAGTTCGAGGAGGACCTTGCATCTGAAATCCTCTTGTTACCCAATAGTGGGGACCTGAAAACAGAGATTAAGGCTGATAAACATCATGTGCAACGTTAGTAGTGCACTTCACAGCTGGCGATGCCTGTGCAGGATCGCAAATGAGGCAAGGTCAGGAGACATTTGCCCAATAGGAGACTAAACCTGTTCAATTCAACAAACTGTTTCATTTGAGAAAGGACTTCACATTTTCTCTAGAGGCAAAAATGCCTCGGAAACAATAATACTGATACAGTTTTTATCTCAAAACGTATCATTTTTTTTAAAAAGATACTTTTCAATGATTCTTTTACCTTGATCATATCTATGCGGAAGAAGGGGTAAGTGAACCAATATTAAGCGCTTACTTCAATTTGCACCCATCGTCTACCTGTATCTCTCAGCATCAAGAAAATAACAGCACAAGAAAATACTAGCAAAACATGACGGTTACCATGGATTGGATTATTTCCACTGGCAAGTTATTGCCCCAAGATAGTGTCAAGGTTGATATTCCTATAATCACTTTCTAAAGAAAGAACCCAAGGTTCAGAGAAGTGAGTTGACTTCCCAAAGTGATTCAATTTGTAGACGTCTAGGCCAGGATTCAGCATCATGTGTTTACCTCCTGAAGTCACGGGTGCGCCCGACTCCTACCTGCCTTTGGGCATGACATCGCAGCAAGGGTGTGGTTTATGTCACATCAGCTTTTATTCATTAGACAGAACATAGGGGTCGCTCATGCCATTGTCGTCACAGAACACGGGGTCGCAGTTCACACCCTGCCTGAGGAGCTGTAGCAATGGAAACACTTTCCACGACCACTGCACAAGCGCTGACAGTGTCGCTGCTGCAAGCACAGTTGGGTACCTTTGAAGAAGTAAGCTGCGCCCCTCTCAGCCACTTCGTAAGCTGCATCCACGTTAGACATAAGCTGGGGGAAGGAGCTGGTAATTGTGCTGGGCCGGATTCCAGTGGTCAAGTGCACTTGCCGCCGCCAGAAAATCCTGTTGGGTGTTCCAAAGAGATCAATCAAGATCAAGGGTGAATTTAGGCATCATATTGAACCTGGAGCAAACCTTAAAGTGTAAGCCACACTTCAGAGGTCATTTTTAAATGCCATTTGATCTTCTAGAAGTGGACTTAACAGCCTATGTTTTAAAATTTTAAAAAATATATGTTTGCTTTCATTAATGTTTGCTTTGTTTTTCAGGAAGAACACATTCTTTTGACCTTATCAACTGCTTGCTTCTTGTCCCATTTTATTGTCTTAGTATCTCTAAGCTCCTTAAAATAGGATTTTTAAAAGGCAACAAGAGTTCCCTCTCACTTAAAATATAAGCAGCAATCACATAAAAAATAAATATTGTTTTGTGCAGCACAAAAAAAATCAATAAATAAAAATTAAAGAATAGGCAAAAACAGAGAAAAAAAATATATATCCAAGACACAGAAAAAGATAGCAAGGAGATTACACTGATGAGGTGACGCATCCTCCTTTCCCAAAGATCTTTTGATAGAACTTCTCTTTTCCTTGTCTGATTTCTGAGATTAATGTCTCACAAAGATAAGCAGGAAACAAACACGAATATTATACTTATGATATGAATGAACCAACGTTTGTGATTGGAAGGTGTCTTAGAACATTGGTAAATGTTTTCTTTTTTCTTTTTTAAACTAATGTTATTGTCTATGCCATTATTTATGAAAAGTGTTTGTATATGTGAATCTGATGGATAATTAACAATAAAAAAATTTAGTGAGGCACCTAGATAGCAATTTCAGGATGAGCAACTCAAAGTGCTCTATCCATTTACCCAATATTATTTTCCTAAAGATATGGCAATATAAAAATTAAGGTACTGGGATGAAACTTTCAATGTAAATGAGGTTCATTTTACACTTTGGGGATGAAAATCAGTTTGATAAGTCATAAATAGTGTGTTTGGCTTTGTAGAAACCTAGAACCAATACATAAGTTTATCTGTGAACCAAATCAAACCAAACTGGCTGTTCTTGAGTCGAATCTGACACATAGTGACCCTATAAGCCAGAGCAGACCTGCCCCTGTGGGTTTCCAACACTGTAACTCTTCAGTGGAGTAGAAAGTCTCGTCTTTCTCCAGTGAAGCAGCTGGTGGTTTTAAACTGCTGATCTTGCAGTTAGTAGCCAGACACATAACCACTACACCAGCAGGACTCCTATCTGTGAACAGGGAGACCATGATAATTTTGACATTGAACTTTCTATGCTGTTAGTTTAGGAACTCCCCTAATCTTTCTCTGTTCAAGGCAAGAAGTATTAATGGTGCACCTATTGCCAGCTACTGCGGTTGATATTAGGGGTACAACATGGAATAAAAGCAAAACCCAGCCTTCTAGGAACTAAAAAACGAGTAGTAGAGATTGGTAAGTCATTACCCCAAACCCAACCCAACTCACTGGCCTTCAATCGATTCTGACTCATAGTAGTCTGCCACCTACTTGGCAAAGTGATTAGTGCTACGTGGAGTTAAGTTTGGCAAGTTCTGGAAACACAAGAGGGATGGTATATGGCATTTACCGATTTCGGGAAGGCTTCTTTGATGAAATTTTGGAGCTGATGATGAAATGTAAGAACAAGATAAATGGAGAAGCACGACGTTTTCTTCATGTCCTTCTGATGTAGCACACGGCGTTTCAGAAGACATCAGCTGGAACGCTGACCCCCTCCCCACCATCTCCAAGTCTCACTTCCATCATCTCATGAATAAGAGTAAGATCACCTGGCCCATCTCATAAACTCCTTATAAAGATCAAATGAAATCATTCTTATATAGAGTGCATTGCAAACTGCTATGGGCCATAGAGCTAGATAATTGTCTGTTTTAAAAATTATTATTAACTGCCTACACCTTACCTGTCCAATAATCAAGCACCTGACTGCAAGGTTGGCCGTTCAGAATTACCGGTCTATCCAAGGAAGGTAGGCTCACAGTGACCCTAGACAACCCTCGACGACCCTCAGACTGTCACTCTTTCTGGGAGCAGAAAGGCTCACTTTTCTCTGTCAGAGTGGATGGCGGTTTCAAGCTGCTGACCTTGCGGTTGGCACCCCAATATGAAATCACTGTCACCAGGGCTCTACTGCTTTAATTTAGTCTTCACCATGCCCCAGAAACAGGTGTGTATTTAATAGGAAATTTAAGGTTCTATCATGTGTTCAAAGGTCCAAATGTCTATTTAGAGTTCCAACCAGAAGTGAGACACTGGGCTTGCTTAGGCCCACTCCTTCTTGATAAGAATCAGACTATTCCGTTTGCTACGGGCCATGCACCATAAACAAGGCTTTGCTTGGGTGGCTCGGCTGTTCTTCACAATGACATCAGCACTGAAACCACAGCAAAGAAATAGTTCAATAACTGGCCCCAAGGTTGGTAAACAAAGGAGTGAAATATTGAGCTAATGGATTCCAAATCAAAACTATGAGGCTTTTTTTTTTTTTAACTTTTCATGGTGAATGGGGTACAGGTTTACAGCGCAAGTCATCAGTTTTACATTCATTGATTCATACACATGCTGAGTCACCTCATCTACTGTAATCCCCTCAATGCGCCATAACTTATTCTGCTTCCTCCCTGTTCCCAGTTATTCTCTTTCCAAACCCTCTGAGCTTTGATGTTGACTAAATGCTGCCCTTTTGATCTTAAATGGCTCTCTTTTGTTTGTTTTTAACTACAGCTCCAGGCCGGAGGGTGACCGAGGCCATAGCTTTACTACTTGGCAGATCAAGGCATTCGGGATATCAGGCTGTAACTTCAAATAAAAGGGAGGGCTTAACTTTGTCTAAAGTCAATTGTGGATTTTTAAATGAGGTATAGGAAAAAAATCTTGCTTTAGGGTACCCAAGGAGAAAGCAGCTGCGTGTCTGCGCTGCTGGGTCCGGGATGCAATTTCCTCACCTCCACAACTGTCAAGCCTTTGAAGTCTTAGTAATCCACGTCCATCCTCTCCAACCCCACACTCTCCTCGCTCTGTCCTTTCTGGTATTTTGTTCCCTAGTTTCATGGGGTAAGAGTGTTCATTCTTTTGTTTTTTGATGTTTGCAATTCAATTCCTGTTTCAGGCATGGTGCCTGAGTTCGTGTTTGATCATTGTGTGTGTGTGTGTGGGGGGCACCTCAGGAGGGTGCACCTACTTTTTCTGAGGCTTCATTACATCCTGCCAAGTAAGAGCGAGAGTAAAAGCATTCTCCCAGGTCACAGGATCAATGGATAGAATACATAAGAAAGCATTTTACGAACTCTTCAAAAGATGTATTTCCCTTCTACAGAGTTCTTAATTAATATAAAATTTAAACTTTGAGTTTATCAATATAGTTATCAATATAGAATGATAAACTCACTCTCCCTCGCTGCCATTAACCTGAAGCTGACTCATGGTGACCCTATAGGATAGGGTAGAACTGCCCTTATGGGTTTCTGGAACTGTAACTCTTTACAGAAATAGAAAGCCTCATCTTTCTTCAGCAGAGCAGCTAGGAGTTTTGAACTATTGACATTTTCAGCAGGCATCTAAATTTACCTAATT